TTTAAAAAATTGCTGACCTTGGAATTTGATCATAGTTTGGGATGTTAATTCTCGTAATATGAAATTAAGGATATAAAATGAAACCAACCCCAAAATTTAGGGTGGCGAAGTTTATTTGCCTCAAATCCATAAGAGAATCAGAAAATAGACCAAGATGGCATTAGCAATATAAAGGAAAATTTCGAGCCCAACCTATCAAGCAGCCTGTGATGGTCTGATATCTCTTCATCAGCTGATGGTATTTCTCCTTTAATTTTAGGTATATGCTGCATAATGCAAATCTCAAAATTAGCAATGTCAATTCTGATCCAACACAGTGTTATAAAAAAGGTCAAGAAATCACATCCATATGCAAAGAGTGGCGAACCTTGAGACATTTTGAGCAGTGCCAACCTACTAAACTCTAACTATTGAACTTTATATGAAGAAAATATAACAAATGAATTAGTTTCAACATGTGATGAACAGTACGCATTCCATTCCAAAAAACATTGTGCAAAAATAGAACATACACCAACTCAACCAAGTTTCGTAACATTCATTAGAAAATTTTGTAACCAATTAGCAAAATTATAATTGTCATCAATTTTAAATACATTGAGCACTACATTTTTAAATAGGGGGAGAAGAGAAACATATATAAATCTTAAAGCCTTCATTGCTGAAGAATTCCTCTTATAACAGAAAAGCTATTAGAAAAATTATAAACAAGAACTTAACAATTGGACATACTTCCACAAAACAAAAGGAATGAAGTCAGAACAGGCATTGTTTTATTCAAAGAACAGCTTGTCTAAGATTGCAAATGATGCAAAACACTTGATTGGGCCACCATGATTAATTTGTCAAATTTCACTCCTCGGTAAAAAACACAGAAAACACAAAGACTTCATCAAAATTGTAATAAAAATAAAATCAACTAAAAATTTAAAGCAAATAATGTGGCAAGTGATGCTTCCACTGCGCTGCGGAGGAACTTCAGTTAAAATCTAAGAAAAATCCTTCAAAGCCTAATAAATAACGCAACTTTCCAAGACTTGTACTTACAGGAATAGCAACCATGTCATTCAACCTCTTTCCTACTTCGCCATCAAGAGCAGATAACTGGTCAATTATATCTATAAGCAGCATGTCTTCACCAAGAGAAACTTTGTCTTCCATGCCAAAGTCACCACCTTGTTCACATCTACTTATGATAGAATCATTTAAATCCCTCTTCCCATGATTAACTTCATTTGTGTGTCTTTCATTTTGGTTGCGAACTTCTATGATTTTCCAATTATCTTCATAATCAATACACATAGGCAACATTATTACATTAATAAAAGTCAATATAATCATTGAGTCAGAACGGAAACTTCAGAAGTTCCCACAACCAGAACTGTGTTATCTTCCTGGAAGGCCAAACCAATCTTCGGCAAGAATTGAATCTTGGCTAGGATTAGTAAATCCAGATGCCTCTGCAACAGCAACTCGTGAGAGTTCCTCTTGAAAGGCATATGCAATAACCGCATCATTCTCAACATTTACATGTTCCGGTTCATAATAAACCTCTAATATACACAGTTTGACTATTGTCTTTGTCATACTGAGTGACACTACCACTGGCGTCAGAATGGCTAAATACACAAACTTGTAGATCTTGGAGACCCCATCGAAGAACATCAGGATCTACATCACATGTAATCGTTGGTAAAATTTATAAGAGAACACTGTCCACGTTTCTGCCTTAATTTGTTTACTCCCCCCAAATGAAATTCTGAGGACAAGAGCATAAAACAAAACAGCACATGATATTATCAATCATCACAATACAGGAAAATATACATATAAAATTCCCAAGAAACTACCAAGGAAATTTCTTAACATAGATTCAACAAGCACACAAAACCCAAGACCTAGAAAGAAAAAAAAAAAGAGAAATCAATCATTGCATGTAAGAACCCAAAACTCCGCGAAACAAAACCCTAAAAACCACAAAATTCCAACTCCAAATTCATAAAAAAAAAAAAAAAGTTTCTGATTTGCCTGAGATAGTAATTGTAACTATAATTGTAACAATAAGTTTATTACAACAGGTTCCGAAGGTTCCTAATGCAATTCTTTTCTCATTACTACAAAAATTTGCTTAATTTTCTAGGTTTCCATGGAAATTTACGAATATAACCAAAATCGGAAAATTTTCAGGATAAAAAAAAAGGAAAAAAAATAGAATTCAACATTTGATGAACAAAAAATTTTAGAGAAAATCTAATTATTGTTTATATATAAGAGAAGTGACATTAGGGATAAAAATTAGAATCTTTAAATAAAAATGGAAATACAATTTTATCTCAAAGAGGTAAATAGTTAAAAAAAAAAAGGTACCTGAAATAAATGAGAACAGCGAGCGAAGAAAGCGAAGTAGAACAGAGAAAAAAGCAGAAAAAGAATAAGACAAAAGCTTAAAATTCTGCATTATACTTATCAAAGTTTGATAGTAATATCAGGAAAATCACCATTCTAATGTTTAAGATTGAAATAAATTTTTATACATTCCAAGCAAATCAACTCAACTCATGTCAGAAAAACAATAAACAAACTAGTTTAAACCAAATCCAATAATACATGGCAAACGGGTTATGATAAAAGGTTAAAATTATGCTGTTGGCAAATTGAACCGGCAGACCGGGCACGTATGATTTGTCTTCAGCCATTGAACAATGCAATTTCCATGGAACAGATGAGAGCAAGGCATTCGAGTTATTACTTGAGAACCAAGTAACAACTCTTCCATACAAACTGAACACTTCTCTTCTGAAGATTTAGAACCATTCGAACAAGTCACCTTCTCCAAGGCTCGAATCGATGTTTCAGCTGCTGGCACCACCCTATCTTTCATTGCTTGTTCTGTCGACTCCCTTGTAGCACGTTCCCTCACTAAATCCAAAGCATCCCTCATCGAATTACCAAGTCCCGCTTTTCTTATTTCATTAACCATGTTTTCCCAATCTGATCGGTGGAAATTCCAACCTTGAGCACGCAACCGAACCATATCTTCAACCAGTTGAAGAGTTTCTTGTGCTTGCTTTGCCTTGAGCATTGCTAGATACTCATCATGGGGCACAATCACTTCTTTCTTGATAAACACAAGCAGGAACAGTTTCTTGCGTCCTGAATCACTGACCATGTCATGACACACATCCAACATCGAGGTTACAACATCATCTGTTGACATTAAGTGTATTGATTCTTTGTCATAAATCCTTTTTTTCCAATGTAAATTTTCCAATGAGAATGGGATTATTCTGGTGTCGGCGAACATATTGGATATAAAATTCTTTGTCAACTGCTCATCTGTTAGATGATGCTCAAATTCGTGCCATGAATCATGGTCTGGAATATAACTTTTGATGGATTTATCAGGTTTGTCAGGTACGAAACTCACCTTGACGTTGCACTTAAACGAGATCAGAGGAGATTCCAAGGATTGATCATCCTTGTAAACGTTGTTTGGTTGTGTAGAAACGTAAATCTTGTATAGATGATTTGAGTTGGAGAGCGCCATTCCTATAACTTGGGATAGAAGGAAGGGAAATATGGGCAGATTGATTTATGTGTAAACAAGGGTTGGTAGCCCCGTCCTTTTATAATGATTCTATACTAATTTCCCTTTTAAAGTAGGATTACGATTTCCTTCATGAATAGTTTTTTTTAAAAAAAATTTTCCTATTTGTACTAGTGTTAGTAATTTCTTTTCTTTTTCTACTTTGGGATTGGTCTGTTTTTTTTCTTATTATTTTTTACTATAGAAATATATATAATATGAATTGACCGACTGGCTTAATTGAATAAGAAAAAATGAAAAATGAAAAATTATTTCTTTGCTATTATTGTTTATAGACTTGTGGTTATTTTGTTAACATACAAATTGTCTGTCATATTGGATGAATACAGGTAATCTAGCTAATGAAAAGTAAAACCAAATAAAATAAAGAATTTTTTTCAAAACATTCTAACTGTTTTTTTTTTTTTAAACAAATTTAAAATATAATGATAAAATTACATTCATTCAAAGTGTAGAATGGTAAATTTGGACTTTACCCAAAAAGCTATGGTTAAACTTGGAAAAATATAATTACTTATTTCCCTGGACGATTAGGATATGTCTCTTCCTTTATTTTTTAAATGTTTTTAAATAACAAACATTAATATATATGCAAATGATTTTAAATTATATTGTTTAAAGAACAAATAATTGGTTAAGAGTGGTATGTGTTGAATTTTTAATTTTAATAATCAAAATTTAAATTCTACTAAATTAAATGTCTAAAAAAAATATTTATCCATGCATTGAATCGAGATCAAAAGTTTGATTTAATCAATATTTAATTATAGGAAATATTCATACTTTTGAATAATTAATATATAAATATAACCTGAAATCATTCACACAATTTATATATTAATTAATTTTTTCATAAAAAATTAATTAAATTTTTATTCATATAAGTCATATTATTGTTGATATAATTAAGTGTTCGAGAGATTCTATATATACCTAAGAAAATGATAGTATAAAATGCAATTAAACACTTAAACGATTTGTTTAATACCAAAGTGCTTTTGAATCCTCTCTCAAAAATTATAATTATGTATAAGATTTTTATGCATTATATCACTTCTTGAAAGATAAGTATTATTTAATCTTAATTTATTCATTCAAATATAATATTTTTTTTACGTAACACATTTTCTACTTTCATTTTTTTTTCTTTTTGAAAGTTAAAAAAATAATAATATCAAATAAAATATTTTTATAAAATATGTTTAAATAAACAATAAACATATTAGCATATTATATTTACCATGTATAAAACATGAATCATGTCAAAATCCATCCAAAGAAGTAACAAACAACCCGATTTATGAACAGATGTAATATTTGATGAAAGACTGTTATTTTTCGTTGGTTTTAGTTTAATTAGAGCAGTCCAAGGTTCCTTGCCCAGGAAAGGAATTTAGTCTTTTACTAGAAAACCACTATCCTATGAAAGATCAATGGTTTCATACACAGTTAATCCGTACAATTCTTTTCCCATTTGTCAATGGAAGGAATAAAGAAGCATTTGAAAGAAAAAAGGAAACAAATCTTTGATGGGTACATTGGAGTTTTAACTGCCGAGGAATGCAAATCTATATTCTACTGTAGACTGGGGTCATCATTAATGCATGAAACAAGCTGTTAATTTTACTATAAGATAGAACACTCGACACAGCAGAGACAGATTTTGGCAATTGTAATAATTGAAAAGGTAACTCAAACACCAACTGGAGGTTGAATTCCGATGACATTTCAGAAATTCTGGTGAACGCAAGAGATTTGGCAACATAGAATCATGCAACTAGGTTATAAATGTAGCATCTTAACAGAATCATATTTCAATCTCAGAATGTTTAAACTGTTGAATAACATATTGTATCCCCACAACTGTTTCATGGGGCTGCTTCCAGCGACAGCCATTTTTAGTCAGTTAATGATCAGAGTGGTTCAACAAGTCTGTCTAATCTTCAATGGCATTTCCTCCTTCATCCAACTGTTTTTGTTGTTCTTGTTGCTCTGCAAGACCAAAAAGAAATTGACATCAGTTAAACAGATTTCAATATGAACCACAATCATTCGCACCCCTAAATATACAGAGGCATTTATCCGAGCATCCATTGCACAGAGTCAACATTACATGTGAAAACTAATAAACCTCTCAAAAAAGAAAAAAGAAAAAAGAAAGCAAAAACACCAACTTTCCTTTTCTTTTGGATGGAAACTCTCCTTTTATATACATTTATATATATAAATATATAAAGATATATAAATATGCTTTTTTTTTTTTTTGCAGAATATAGATATGAACTTTAAACTTCATAAACATGGACAAGCTACATACATGTTCACATCAAGCACAATACAATGTTTTAACTATATGACCTTAAAGTGATTGGCACTTAAAAGTCAAAACACAGTAATGTTACATAATCTATGATAACTTAAAACACATCAGAGAGAGAGAGAAGGAGCTTCCAGCTGAAGCCAAACATTATGATAAATTATAAGTCCCAGCAAGATGAAGATGCAAGAAAACAACAACAAACTAAGTCTTATATCCCATAACTCTGGGGTCAGCTTAAAAATAGTTATAATCATGTCTAGTGCTAAATGAATGCAACAATCATTGCATCATCGGTAAGGATCAAGGATTATAACAAATACATACAGATCCTTTAAAAAAGTCTTAGATAGCTGGTTTTGATTCCACAGATAAGTTTCACTCACATAACAATCAGCAGCTTGTATTGGGAGACCTACAAGCTACTATAAAGCAGCTAAATTTACTGTGTCTCTCATTAAAGGGCATCTGTTTACTTCTGGATCCTTCTCCCCTACTTTATTTATCTCTTATCTTATTTTAATGGGGTTTGATTGTCACATTCTTATGCACCTTCTTGTGCTTTAACTTGCTCTAAGCTGCTTCTATGAAATTCATGAAAACCCTAATCACCAGATAAGCTATAGTTTTAGCTTTTATAATTCCATCAGAGTAGAATAATCTAGGTATTTTGACTTACAAATCTAGTTCAGATTCAAAATTTGTGTTGCTAACCTGAAGTCAGCTAATATTCTTCAAATCAGATCAAACCTGATAACTAATATGACTTCTCCAATTCTGTAGTTAATACAAAGTGTATGGCAAATGTGCACTGAGGTTACATTTTAAAGCAGATTGGGAACCTGTAACTAATTTTTATGGCTAAAATCTAAGGTTCACATGAAAAATTAGAGTGAATGTAACTCATCAGCATATTTAACAGAAAAAGGTTGACACAATATTACTTACCCATAAGTTTGTATAGTGACTTCTGTGTGCGTCTTTCAAGCTTATCAAGCTTCTTCTGCACATCCCTTCGCAGATCCCAGTTTGGTTTCTTGGGAGCAATGTTGACAAATGGATCCTAAACCATTTGATACAATTAGAACAAACAGAAGAAAAAATGTTGCTCAGTTAAACATGATACTGAGGATGAACAAGCACCTCTTGGTCTTCTGATGGTGGAGGTGCTGCTGCAACAGGATCTTCGAATTTTGGCAGCACTGGGGGAGCAACCTTACCCTCCTGAAGCTGTTTATCATGAGGTACATAATTTCGAAATTTCATGCTGGGATTACTGTGGAACAAAAAAGACAAGCAAGGAAAGTATATATGTTAATGATTGAAATTGTCAATGAAAGAGCCACTAGAAAACATCCATCCAAACATAAATTTTGTAGTTGCAACTCATTTTCAAACCAGTAAGCCAGAAAAAGATCCCTACCTTTGTTGGATTCAGGGGAAGAGAAGAAAAAGACAGAAAACGAAGGAGGAATGGTGCTTTACCTTGTTCTGAGAATTTATAATGGAGGGGAATGGATAACAAGGGTTACATTTATTCCACTAAAACCCTGCAAACCCCAATTTGTTCAATTTTCCACCAAATTGAGAGCATTGGAGGGAAAAGATCATTGCCCTTTTCCTTTCTTTTTCATTTTAATTCTGAAGGTTGTCCATGATAGGGAAATATGGGAAGGTGAAAGGATACAAAAGTTTACAATCCAAAGATTGAGTTGTGCAACATTCAACCCATAGGACTAAAAATTTTCTATACTTCAATCTTTCCATCCTTTCTACCATGCAAACCTTAGAAAAGGATATAGATGTAAAGGGCATAACAAGATATAGTTCCTCCATTCCCTTTCCACTCTTAACCGAGCAAAGGCAGCACATCCTTCTTTTCATCCCCTTCCTGTTTTCAGATAATCCAAATATGGGAAACCTTGGCTTCTTTTTTCCCCTCTTCCCACTTTTCCTCCTTTAACTCTCATCCATTCTCCCTTCTAATTCCCAGATTTAGAGTTAATGATTATTTTCCCCAAAAGGGCACCCAAAACAAGCAAGTAAAACCTTCCAATGGCAATCATTTTCTTACTAAGTGCTAGGTAGCTTTCTATTTTAAGAAAGTAATTTCCATCAATTTTAACTACATTTTCACACTGTCCCCTTCCCATAATCTAAAACATCCATATTTCAAGAGAAACTGAAAACACACAATGAACCAATTGTTATTCTGTAACAAATTATTTTTGCGCTAAAGAAAATGAAATATTGGGATGGAAATTGACATGGAAAGTTCATGCTGGAAATTCTGTGAAACAAAATGACAAGCACAGAAATCATTGGCATATTTGGTGCACAAGATTATGATAGGATAATGTTATTAATAGGATTTGATTAAATAATGTCATTTTATCTTATCTTTGATGTATAAAAGGATTAGGATAGGATAATTTTACTTATTGGTCAAAATTATCCTTCCTCAAAGTTTAAATGATTTAAATTTATTGATGTAATCTTTAAGGGAATAATAGGACATGTAAGTTTAATCTCATAGATTAAAAATAATCCTCTCCATTTTGAGAGTATTGAATCATCCTATTCCGAGAGGATAATTAATCCTCTTTGCAATCCAATCGCTCCCTTTACATGCAAACCAAACATGGGTCTATTCACCATCTTATGAACCAAACATTACCTACACGTGTTAATGATAGAAACTTTCAGTGCAAGTGCAGCAAATGGACATCCATTTTCGAATAGGTAAACTACAAAAATCCTACGATTTATTTGGATCTATGCAAAGGTTGGAAAGGGAATAGAATCAAGGAAGAACGGTTCTCTACCTAGTTTCAAGAATTTTTAAGGAATGGAATGGATTACAAGGGTTGCCTGTCCCATCAATACCCTAGACTTCCACATTTGTTCAATTTCCACAAATTGAGATGATTTGGAGGGATAGGATCATTACCTTCATCCTCTATTCTCCTATCTACTTTTAAGACTGTGATTGGTTGCGAATGAATGAAAGTGGAAGGATAGAAAAGTTTTCAGATCAAAATGTTTAGTTACACAGCCTCATTCCTACTACAATGTATAGTCATTGGATTAAAATATCTTCTATCCTCCCAGCTTCTCATCCTTCTTAACAAACAAAGCCTCTTAGAAATGGACACAACGGCCAATCCTTTCCACCCCATAACCAAAAAATTTCTTTAGGAAATCCTTTCATTCCCTTCCTCTTTTTGCAAATTATCTAAACAAAGGAAACCTTCGCCTCTCCTTGCCCTTCTAGTTTCTCAAAAGGACACCCAAACCAGCAAGCAGATGTTTCTATGGAACTTATTTTCACACTAAATCCTATTTGGTGGTGTAAGCAAGTCATGCTGATTTGCAAGCTTCTAGGGCTTAACTTAGAGAGTACTTGACATCACCTTGTTCTTTGTTGAGTTGAGTACAGACTGAAGCAGGTGATTGAACCGAATTTCGGTATCTTAATACTTGAAACAAGCAGCTCACACGTCTAGTCGAGTTTTCTATTCGTTAAAAATATAAAAATATTCTATTTAATACTCCATTACATGTATAATAACAATATAATAAAATCAAGCCTAATAAAATTGAACTTGAGCCAACCTTCGTTCTCGAGTTTCAAGCATCCTGTTTCCACTCAGCTCAGAGTCGTTTAAACCCTAGGTACATCAGCCAATTTTAACCATGATTCATATTATGCGTAAATAACCATAGTCTAAAACAGCCATATCTTCACAAGATAAACAACACCCATGATGAACCCAATTATTAAAACTGAATGCATATTACTCTTATGGTAAAAAAATTGGGTTCGAAATTAAACAAACAATCTAAGCTTTATAACTTACTTTTCTTCGTTAGTTTCATCTGTTTTGTCCTCAGCAGGTTGAACAGAATCTTCATCTGGGGCATTCAACAGTTCCTGAGCTGCCTTAAGAGCTTTAAGCCTCTCTCGGCGTGACGCAGCTGCTTGTTCTATCGTTTCCTCTTCAGTAGCCATGAAAGAAAGCTCGCTTGTTTTAGTTTTAAAAAGAAGAAAAAAAGAGGCTGTGTCCTTTGCCGTTGAATTGAGTGGGGTTTTCTCTCTTTCATTATATTGTTATTATCATATATACTACTATTTTAACTTCCAAATGAGTTGGGCTTTATTGGGCTTTTAAACAAGCCCAAGAACAAAAGATATAATGTGCCATTTAACCTAAAAAAGTATTCTTAGATTTTGTAAATTTAAAATGAACTTTTAAATTTCACATATTGAGTCTCAAAAATTAAAGGAAAAAAAATATAATGAGAAGATGATGAACATATTTTTTAGTTGAATAAGAAATTTAAGATTTAAACTTTTTAAGTTATTTACAATTTTTAAACTTTTTAAGTTATTTACAATTTTAAATTGTACATTTATTTATTTTTTTATATTAACATTAAATAATAATTTAAAATTACCGTTTATCATTTTAATCAGTTAATATGTTATTGGAATTAATACTTAAAGGTTACGAGTTTGAAAGAATTTATGTGCTTAATATAATCAGTTAGGTAAGTAGTATGATAATGAAGTTTGGGTAAATTTAAATTTTAAAAAAATAATAAAAAAAAATCAAAGTTGAGTGGATCTTTAATGTATTAGTCCATGTCTACCACATTTTATTTTGAGATAAAGTCTGGTTTGGGTTTGGATTCAAGCTGTTTTTGTACTTGATTGAATTTTTCCAATAATTCAAGTTGGATTTTCATGTGATTGAAAGGGTCTTACAGATCATGTCAGCTAGTTCTAACTTCAGCCCTTTTGCCCAATGAAGTTTTAGCCATGACATCCAAGTTCTTAGAAAATAAACACAAACTCAGCTTGTTACTTCCTTTTCTTAAATATATCATTACTCTCAAATTAGCATGAATCCACCACAGCTACCTTCTACTTGTGTTTTAACAACTTTAAGGACTCATTACTATAATAATATCTTTCAATTAACATCTTTATTGAACTAATCTTCAAAGGAATTTGTAAATCACGGCAGAAAAGTCAGTAAATACTCTTATCAAGTAACCAATTAAGCTTTGATGACAACGTACATGAAGCCAAGCATATCTTTGTTTACGCTTCTGATTAATCTAATTATCAATGAAATTTAAAACCAAGTTATAAGAAGAGATTAAGGTTTAATTTAAACGATAGGTGATATTCCTTTCCATCGTGCCATGATCATGACGTTTTGAGTAAGGATCCGGTAATAAAACCAGGGGCATTCAGATGAAGCATAAGCATTCACTAGATATTATATTACCCTTTCAAGCAATTAAGCTCTGAGCACAAAATATCAGCTCAAATATGGTAGTTCCAAAACTTCCTACATGATATATATGCAGTTGATTATCTCAACAAAACCTTTAAATTGTTTTTACATGATATGTAGATAAGAGCAATTTACTGAATTCAACTAAATTGAACTGTAGTTTCTTAACAAGTCCTCACCATCTTTGGTCTCCAAGTTCGCCAAATCAAACACCCTCTGTCCCCGGTTATCAGATCAGCAAACATTCTTTTCAAACGTTCACTTCCTGATAGTTCAGAATCATCTTTTGGAGTTGAACTATTCATAGGGAGTTGGGGGCTTACCATATCTACTGCTTCCACAATTCGATTCACCATTTCTAGAACTTCACTCATTTTGGGGCGTAATTTGGCCTTCCGCACCAAGCACTTGTTGGCTACTTCTGCAAGATTATAAGCAGACTGGAGGGAATACTTCCCTTCTAACCTAGGGTCCAAAATCAACCTGAATTTCTTTATATCCGAAATATGAGGCCTGACCCATTTCAACAGATTTTGCTCACCCTTGGGGCGATTCCGATCCGAAGGACGCCTACCAGTTATGAGTTCAAAAATGAAAACTCCATAGCTCCACACATCACTTTTAGCTGTGAGGTGCCCGGTCTGAATATATTCAGGAGCTGCATATCCAATGGTTCCTACAACCTGCTCAGAAGGTCGATAAATTGGTGAGGTATTTCTATAAAATGAACAATACTTTTGAAAATTCTGCACAATGAATATGGAAAAAAAGGGGCCAAAAAGAGAGGAGAAGGGGGAAACTGACTGCTGCTATATATGGGGATCTTACAAGTAAGCAGAGGCCCTTCAGATAAGTAGCAGAAAAGCAGTTTTAGTAGTTTTAGTAGTCAACCAAGGAGAGGCGGACGCCTCAAGTATGAGAAAACAAGAAAATTTGAAAGAAAAAATTTCTTTTGACACATTTTTCGTCAATAAAATTAATAAATTTGTCAATAATTGTTTATGTATTATAAATGGACACTTTCAGAAAAAATCTTGAATCTGCGTTGCAACAAAAACGATGAAATTCAATAAATGGTGTATTAGCAGCTTCAAGTAACTATGACTTGTGGGATAATTTTTGCATTTCTAAACAAATGAGCTAAAGTGCAATGTGCATATTAAGAAAACAAATGTAGTTTAAGATTATCTGCCACAACTTAAAAATGTACCGCAGTTGAGACATGACTTAATCCATCTGAAGGCCCCAGTCTGGCCAACCCAAAGTCTGACAGCTTTGCATTCCAATGCTCATCCAAAAGTATATTTGATGACTTGAAATCTCTAAAAATAATCTGTGCCAATCATAAAGCAAATGTTCTTCGGAAATGAGAAAGAATATCGTTCATGGAAAGGATTTAAACTTCTAGAGAGGCTAAAGAATCCAATGTTCTTGAGTGTTTAAGATTTTGAAATGCCTAGCTCATTTTAGTCCTATCTAAACTTTTTGATGAAATCTTTATACTAGTTTTGCAACTTTATTTTTTCTTTATGTTTCCAACCTCATTCATATATATATGCCAAAAGAAGAAAATTGCTCTATCAAATTTCAATCATATCCAGCAAGGAGTAAATGGTACCTGAAAATCCATTCCTTCATGGAGGTATGCTAAGCCTCGGGCGGCATCCTGGGCAATTTTCATTCTGGTGTCCCACGGAAGAGTTGTTTGAGATCGACTTGACAAGTGATCTTGCACACTCCTGTTAGGCAGGTATTCATATATCAGTAGCCTCTGCATTCCTCTTTCATCATCCTCAGCACAGTAACCCACTAATTTGACAAGATTTTGGTGTTCAACTACCCCTAAAACATTCACTTCTGTCACCCATTCTTTGTGCCCCTGTGAACAAAAAGTGAAAACAAATATGACATACTTTAAAAGGATTAATTGTGATAATTGTGACAACTACATGTTACACAAAAGAAAATATTACAGAAATCAACTTAGCCACCAGAGCTTTCCTTTTTTAAAATAAATTCTCATTAAAAGGCAAAATAGGTTATGCAATCTTAAGCCATAGGAGTCGAGATTCATTACAGTTTATGCTAAAACAGTTTAACAATGTCTAGAAAGAAGGCACGTGCAGGGCTGCGCTGGTAGATGGAGGCCTTTAAACTTGTTAAAATGCTTTAAAGTGTCAACAATGGAAGGTCTAAACTATATGATTTAATGGATAACTAAGAGTATTTGCAGGAGATGGAAGTGTGTGCTGAGGAGATGACCGTTAAGTACCTAACCAGGCATTCCTGGAATATTTCATACACATGGTTTGTTTGAAAGAAAATAATTTCCTTTGGGTAACAGGATTACCTTTTCCTCGTTCAATGAAACTATGCTCTTAAGAAACATATGAAGTATCCAAATTCAGCAGTATAGAACAAACTACCAATATTCCCTTCATATAAGCTATTTTTAAAACTTTACCAGAAAAGAGCTCCCTGGAGTTGTTGGCTTCTCGGTACAGATTAGACAGATATGATGATAATGCACAGAAATAAAGACAAATTTGCTGGCATGTTAACCAAAAAGAATCAAATCCCAAACTAGAGAATAGTTTGAAACTTCATAAACCTTTTTTATACCAATGGTTACAAAAGCAGAAAGCTACCTGCAACCCTCTTCTGCTGAGCTGTTTAACAGCAATATCAATTTTCTTGTGGGGATCTTCTGTGCTTCGGATTACACCCTTATATACACCACCAAATCCACCTTCTCCAATCATCAGAGAGCGGCTGAAATTCTTTGTTGCTGTCTTCAACTCCAAGAATGTGAACTCTCTTAGATTACTTTGTCTTTGAGACAAAGCAGCAAATGTGTTCTTCGTGGAGGATTCTGTGCTAAAGTCTGAAACATTCTCGGAATTAAACTCAGACCCAGATCTCCTCATATCATGATCTGTTGAAATGGAAACAGATGTGGAGGACCGAACCGAAATAGACTTTGTAGTTTTTGATTCATCATTCTTCTCTTTACCAGAGAAATAAAAACACTTCATAGCCCCAAAGAAACAGACAACCTCACTGCATATTAACAATTACATATGTATGGATCAACCAAAAATGATTTTGAGATGAACCTAATTGTAACCCAAAGCTTAATCCTTAACAGAAATTGATGGTAAAAAAATAAAATAAAACTATAGAAACCAAGAATATTGATAAAGTATTAACATATCTATTCTGCAATTTCACATGTTCAAGTAGCATAAAATCAATGCAAACTACAACTTCCAGCAAAATTTTAATATATGAGACAAAGTACCACATGACATCAAGATGCCAATATTATTTGTCTGCATTTCTATCGAGGGCTTAAATCAAAACATTTATTCTTGAACAATGCCAAATCCAAACTTAAATTGTACCATAGCCTTAAATGTCATCTATTACACCCTAAACAACGCTATGATATTCCTCAAAAGGAACTTCAGTGTAATAAGTTCCCAAACACTCAATAAATATGTCAGACATAAGAGAGAGGGAGAGGGGAGACTAGAATTTAAGTCAAAGAAATTCTTTGACTGAACCGTCAAGAAATCTTGAAAAAAATGTAAACTCTCACATCTGCTACAAAGAGATTCAACAACGTTTTGAATTGTGAAAGACCAAAAAAAAAAAAAAAATTCAAAACACTTTCTAACAGAAAGTTAACAATTTCAAGAAAGCACTGACCTTTGTTAATGTTCTGTTTCTAACCCAAAAAAGCAATAACAAAGTACTAGAATTTACAGGTTCTCATATTTAAGAGAAACTCAGAAAGCCAAAAAGGTAAACTGAGAGGATCCAAGGACATAGCAACGAGCTCTCCATGATCTACAGCAACAAGTCAACACAAGGCAACTGTATTCTAACTCGCCAACCAAGACCCCATTAGATAAAACGAGGAGGAAAAAAAATCTTTGAGTCAGTAAACAACAATCCCCAAAAAAAAAAAAGCTGAAAACCCAAATGGTATTAGAGTATTACGATTAGGACTGGAACAACAAAAGAGTGTAAGTGTGTGAAAAGGAAAAGATTCGGTTGTCACTTTCTTTAATAGGATTTGAAGGTGTAAAAATCTCGGAGAATGAGTCATTGGTATAGCACATCTATACAAAAAGTATAGTATTTGTTGTTTTTAAAAAATAAAAATAAAAAAAGATATGTTGGCAGTCGTAAACCATTAAGATAGCTTGCCAGTTGTAACCATGGGATTTTTTTTACCAGAATTCATAGCGAAGACGAAAAAAATCATGTGAAACTTGTTGTGTCAGCATAAGAATTTGTATTCAATCATTTTAGGAGGAGAAAAGTCAATGGGTCATTCATTAGAATTGTTACCACTGTTTTGAATTCCATGACATTATGAATTATTTCATGTACACGTTCCACCAACCTTTAAATTTGCCTTTAATATGATTTAGACAACAAATCAATGGAAGTCCTTTTAGTATGAGTATTGATCATGAACAAAAAATTTCCAAAGTATAGATGTATCAAGAAACATTAGGGAGGAAAAAACTTGATATAAAATCCAACTCGATTCCACTCAAAATTATGAAAATAAAATAAGAACTTGAGTTCAATCTTGATTCAAATCAAAAATCATTTTCATCCTAAAACAGCATACACCCAAAATTTTTTTTGTTATTTAATCCAATATTATTTAAAAAACTGATCAGGTAGATCTACAGATTACTGGAATCTAAAACAATTCAATTGATCTAATTGTGAGCTTTAGATAACATCAAATAATGTAATATGGTGAATATTTTAATACAAGGACGCATCCTTTTATCCTTGTCATGAAGCTGGTAACATAAATGAACAAGACAATTTGCAAGAACATTGCTCTTAATAGCATTCTTAACATCCAAAACACTTACAGACCTATCAGAATGTCGAACACCAGACTTGTTTATTTGTGATGTCAACCTCACACTATTCTCTGGTGCTTTTGCATTCAAAGGCTCTTTCACAAACTTTTCATCTAATTTTATCCTGGCAGTTTCTCTTTCTCTTGGCCCTTGCTTTTTCAACTCAGCCTCTGCCTTCATTTTTGCTGCAGCTTCAACTTACTCTTCCTCATCGTCGCCTTCCAAATACTCGTGTTTGATGAACAATTCAAGCCGTTGTAACGGAAACCTATGAGAAAGAGGGCATCCACTCAGAGTATAAAGTACATTAAAAATCTCCAAATTCAATTCAATCCCAATTGTTTTTTTTCATCTTTTGTAATGCAATTCTGGCAGCTTCTCTTTCTCTTTCTCATTTCCTTTTCAATTCAACTTCTCCTCAAATGGCTTTAATGTTTTAGGATCTAAGGGTTGATTGAAAACTCTAACTGGATGTTTCTGTTAGGCAAAAGCGTCTAATCAATTGAACATTCATAATGATGAAAGTGAAATTAAATGATTAATTAATCACATAAGAGATACAAATTTAACATGATTCAAATTAATTGACTTACATCCATGAATAACAAAAAAGATCCACCTTCCGCCTTTCACTTATGGACGGCCCACCATCACCTTTGTTCTACCATGCTTACAACCATCTGAAGTCTCATTGAAATTTCCAGTAGCAGATAACTTTTTGTTTCCTTCAAAAGAACTGCTTATCTGACGTTTTTGACCAAAATTAAAAGATTGTAACGTAGGAATTGATTATATGCTCTTAGAAGAAGGAAACTTCAACTTCAACATAAAATCTTTCAAGCTTTCCACATTGCCAGACAATAAGAGAAAACGAAAATGGAACCAGAAAAAATTTAACTTCCATCGATGATCTTTTCGATTGAATGACAAAAAAAGAAACGAGAGATTAAAAAACAATGGATGAAAGAAGGAAAAGAAAACGAAAGAATTAGCAAGGTTTTCTCACTTATACTGACAAGAAAAAAGAGGCACGTAAATCAAACTTGAGTTTTATATATTCTTTTTGCAGACATTTTATTCAAAATTTTTTGAGTCACTTACGAGTTTCGAAATTCATTTTTAACGCATTAACTCATATTTTTTTTTATTTTGGCCTATTAAGAAAGTTTTGGGTTTTTATTGGGTTTGGTTTGAACCAAAGAGCTTTTATCTCTTAATTTAAATGTTATTTCAAAAAATTAGAGGAGAGTTTAGATGAACAGTGATTTTGAAATTTTAGATTGAGATAGAACACTTTTGAAGATAACATTAGGATTAATTTCAAAGTTTATTTAAGATAAATCTTAGTTCAATCGAATCCCTTATCACACTTGGGATTGAATTCCTTATATAAACACACCAGAATTGACAGGGAGAACCAGTGATCAATTCCAAAATCATCAGCCTCTTCATACCACCACCTCAGTAGCTTTCTTGCCACCACGATTCCATCGAAGCTGATTCTATCATTACATTCACCTAGCTACCACAAACCAACATGGCAAAAAAAAAAACAAAGAGAAACTTAGAGAGATGTTTGATAACAAGAAAACCCTTCAATCTAGTTCCCAATCATAGAAAACCAAGTTCCAAAAAAATCCAATCTTCAAAAACCCAGAAGCACAGGGGCTTCAGTTTCTGGTTCGATAGCCCACTGTTTCAATTATCTAGCCTGAAACTCACCGAATTCATCCTTGGTCTTCAGCAATCACACATCATTATTGCCACCATCAGTTGAATTAAGCAGCTGCCCATTGCCACCTACCCCCACCGCCATTTATTACTTTAACCACATTTTCATCTTGTAGAATGCAAAGCTAAAGAAAAAAATTTCAACCGAGGCACATCCAGAATACTAGCTTAAATCACTCACAAATCCATCCAATTCACCTCTACCCAATCAGTATAAGCAAATTTCCAAACCGAACCCAATTTCAACCTAACATCACTAGCAACTCAGCATACATTAACCCAGCAAAACCAAACCCACCCACTGTTACCACTGCAAGAATCAAGCCCTACACAAAGAGACATAAACTACCAAGAACCACTCTTCACCAATCATCCCTTATCAATAAGCCAAAAAAGGAAGTAAAAAAAAAAAAATAGAAACAAGAAAACACCAGAAAAGAAAAAAAGTTTTTTTTGGGTTTTGGTTTAACGTACATCGATGAGGTTTCGAGTCACCCATTGCCAGTAAGGAACATCATCAAAATCCAAGCCAAAAGAGACAAGGCAAAACCACAATACACAAAAAGGAAAATCAGCAACGACACAAAAGTGAGAAACAAAAATTTGTGAAGAAAAGATCGATGAAAACGCAAAAAATAAAAGAGGGGTGGTGGTGGCGACCTATGGTGGTGACAACAGCGTTGATGCACCAAATTCTAGAAAAAGATTGAGCTTTTGGCAACTCTTTAGAAAGAAGAAGAAAAATGGAATGCTTAGAAAAAAAAAAAAGTAAAATAGGAAATAGAAAAAAGAATTGAAAAGGGGATTTTATAGCAAACGCTGCCATTTTTATATTAAAAAGAATAAGGTTTATTCAACCCAGGCCTGGTGGCCCGATTTAGGTCTAGGCCAATTTCAATGGTGCCCCAATGTCATGATCTAATCTTGTATAGGGTTATGATCGGATATAAGTTATCATGAGTCACCTATGTATAAGGTTATAATTGGGTAAAAGCGCCAAAGGGAGGGTAGATCTCATGTGTTAGGAAAAAATATCCTCATTTCAAATATTTTAATAGTTCTTGATAGCATAGCTATAAAATTTCATTAGCTCTTTAAAAGGGGTGAGCAATCAGCGTATTGTTAGGTTATCTCACTAGCTAAGGTATATGCTAGACCATTCATCTAGGGTTGCCCCTCTGGCTTTGATGATAGTGAGAAACTCGATGTACTATTTTCAATATTAACAAAACATTTTTTATACAAGAATGTCATGGGTCATCTTGATGTGCTCTTATTTTGCTCGATATATCATTATGTATGCTTGAGATTAACTTGTGACTTATTGGTTGCTTGTTCAGATACCGAACTATCCTTGGTTGACTTATGTGAAAGCGTCCATTCAAGTATCGTATGGTTTATTGCTTCATTGAGAGAAAGCTTAATCAGTGACATATGGTATCAGAGCACAGTTAAAAAGTGTTGAAGAATTGATAAAATGACTATGAGTGGTGGATTTAGTGACCAACAGACGATTGAGGAGCTTGAGGCCTTGGTGACTATCCTAAAAGCTCATATGATAACTCATGATCGATTGAGAAAGATTGAGATAACCTAGCGAAAGTTCTCCAATACTCTACATAGCTTGGGTAAGGAGACTAAAGATGCCTTAAATGTCCTCTAGAGAAAGTTTAAAGAGCTTAAGGCCTAAATGAGTGTTCTACAAATGGCTATGGCCAAGTCGAGTTCTAGCTCAATAAAAAAAGTGAAAAGGGCCAAAGTGTCCAGGTCTTGATGTTATGAGGGTGCAAAAGATGCCAAAGAACTTGAAAACTTCCTATTTGACATGAAACAATACTTTCGAGTTGCACACACAGAATCAAAGAAGGATAAAGTTGCAATGGCTTCAATGTATCTTGCTTGGGATGCTAAGCTGTGGTAGCATTCAAAATTTATAAATGATGAATGCTTTATTAAAACTTGGGCAGATCTTATGCAAGAATTAAAGAACCAGTTCTTCCTTGAAAATGTGAAGTATATGGCCTAAAGAAAGCTTCGAGAATTGGTGTAAATGGGAACAGTGCAGGAGTTTGTGAATT